ACGAACAAGTTGTTTGTTTAATTTTGAAAAAATAAAAAGAATATTTAAAATTTGAATGTGTAATAAAATTCCGTACATTTAACTCTGTTTGAACAAGAGATATGTTGATAAAAATTAGAATAGTTTTTGAGAAAAAAATTGGAAAATTTTTTGAAAAAGACAAAAATTACATGGACTCGTTTAAAAACGAATTTTGAAGAACAAATTTTATTTAGAAGGAAAATAACTGTCAACAATAAAATTAGTAGAAGGCCAAAGAATAAACAAATAAACTTTTATAATTTTCGAAAATGAGAATTTGTAATTTTCGAAAATCACTTTGCCTCGTTTCTTGTTATCCTCACTTGCTGTTAGACAGAGACACAGACTGGCGGACAGACACATACCGGTAGACAGACTGAGTGGTTGACACACTTACAGATTGGAAGACATACTCGCAGAGAAACTGAGTGACACACAGAGAGACTGACAGACGAACGTTTATAAGAATCTCTTTCGCTATTAATCGATCATATAATTTGTATTCCGTTAAAACCTCGAAATCGATTTTTTGCAGCTTTACGTAACTATCTCTTACACTAACTACTTTTAATCGTAATACATACGTATATACACGAATAAATAAAAACACTACCACAATTTTACAATAAACATGACCACTTTGCAATGTATTTTCCTTCTTTAACTTTAAAAATTGTAAACTGAAAAATGCCTTTTAAATATAATTTCTACAATATTTGAATGTTAACAATGTTTATTAAAGGACGAGCAAGTTTTGTGTTATTCTACATCCCATTAATTCAAAGTAAAATCATGTGTCTCACTCACAATACTGTTAATTTTTTATGCGAATATTATTCTTCAATTTTTAGACGCCATTACTAAATAAGCCTGGTATAAATAAAAATTGAAACGATGCATTTTTTAAGGAGAGAAATATATTATTAGTTACTTACCATGTAAGGAAAATCGGTTATTGAAGTCTCAGATCCTCCAACAATTCGGTCCTGGGGTTCGAAGGATAGGCTCTTAATAAATCTGGGACCTGAAAGCAGGTGGTTTTTAAACATTTGTGTTTATTCGGTCTGATTCTCGATGACATCACGATATTTCGAAAATTGAAAAAAAAAATTAAGCTCCAAAATTGGAGATGGAGATTTTGGTCTCAGACAAAGTTTATTAGGGAAAATTAGTTCTTTTAAAAAGGTTAAGCAGAATTCTTTCAAAAACCAGTAGTTTTCGCGTAATTTGCGATTGAAATATGCCCACAAATTTTCTCAAAAACCGCTTCAAATTTGTTCTTTTAATTTTTTATCACATATGTAATAGCAAAGCCTAAGAAATATGGCGCTAGTCTCATTTTCGGGTTTCCGTTTTTTTCGAAAATTGCAAAAACTTTCAAAACCACAAAATTGAAGATAGATTTATGATCCAGCAGTCTATTGAACAAAATAAGCTCTTTAAAAAAGGTCTTGTACAGTTTTTTGAAAATAACCAGTAGATTTTGCCTAATTTCCTTCCTGTAATTTATTAAATATGTATAGGTTTGACACCAACTATGGGACACGTGAAAATTTGAATGAATGATAAAAAAAATAATTTAATTACAATTATAATTTTCTATTGTAAATGAGAATATTAATTCTCTTTTTCCTTTCCTGCTTTTTTACTTTTTACTCAATATGTTTTCTAGATGTATTGAAGTATTTGTTTTTAAGCAGTCCGCAAGCTTAATAAATAGTTCGCAAAAATGCTGCATCAATTGTGAAGCATTTGAAACACTTGCTTTGTATATATTATCTTCTCTCTCCGAGAAACCATGGACTTGTTCTTTGCGGAAAGCAGTAGTGTGTTTTCGTATGTCAAGTGTGGCAATTAGAAGTCGGTGATGCTATTGTAACTGTTATCTGACGACGAAAGGCATTTCACGAATGTACGTTATTATTTTGGTGTCAATTGCGTATATTTCAATTACTGTATTGATATTATTCAAGCGGATGCACATTCTATTGATAATGCTGGACTGGCAACTGTGCGCTGCACTTCTTGGTTAAATTGGACATTTTAAAATTAAAGCTGAGGTGTTGGTAGCGCAGACAATGCAATATTTTAATATTACTTAGCTGCTTCGAATAATCCCAGAAAGTATGCGCTTTTGAAGCAACACGAGTTCTTGAAACTTTATGTACGATTAGTAAAATCTGCACTCTTAAAGAGGACATTAACTACATTTTGCTGTGTTCCTTTGGTGTTTTTTTTAAAATTACACAAATATAATTATTTTGAAATTTCTCACGCCGTCAATATGCACATTTTCAGCGATTGTATTCATTATTGCAATTTCTTAAGTTATTCGGGTGTGGTTAGAGCGAGATATTTCTTATATTTATTGTTGTAAAGAGTCCATATTGTTCTAAGATATTTACTTGCGAGAAAAGTGGACATTGTGAGACCTACATATGCAAAATAAGGACTAATATGCCGTCATTATTTGAGTATTCGAAATAATTTTGTTTCATCATGGAAAAATTAATATATTTCAATATCGCATAGAGACCTAATGTTGAGTAGTTTCGTAACTAGTAACCACAGATCTCGTGGCCAAGGAATTCATTGCAAAAACGAGGCATAATATTCAATTTAAAAAACAATTTTACCCAATTATTAAGAGCAAAATCATAAAAGTAACATTATAGACATATACAGAGACATATACAGAGGGAGGGAGAGACAGTGAGAGACAGACAGACAGACAGACACAAAGAGACAGACAGACAGAGACAGACTTGTTCTCCGATCGCTAATAGTTTAAATATTTATAATTTTGAGTAGTGCGAACATTTAGGACAGATTTAGACTTACAATTATGTAAAATTCTTCCCATTTGAATTGGTAGATGTCGTTCAAATTGCGCATATTGTTTCTTCCAGAAGCTACCTACTTAAAGTGTTTTTAAGATCATTTTCAATAGTTAATTTTCTCTGAATTTTAAAATTTCAGGTCTGATCTGTCAGTTCCCCCATAAGATCCCGTGTTAAAACTACAAATTTTACAGTCACGTTACGCTATAACTAGACGGTAAAATTTATTCTAACTTTACAAGAACAAAATCTCATCTTTAGATAAATACAATGAAAATGAGAGGTTGAACATACAACACTTTCTCATTCAAACGCCTTAGTGATGATTCGAAATGTTTCAAAGATAATTGCCATTTAGGATTGCCACTCAAAATTTTCGAAGAAAATTGAAATATATCACCCCATTTTACTACTCTATAATATTTGTAGAGTCATGTTTCAGGTTTACCATTATGAGATCGTAATATTACGAAAATGTGAAAAAATGTAGCCGGCTCAACAGTACAGCAATATAAATTTCAGAAATTGAATCGTATCGTACAACGAAGATTTTATATATGAACGTATACGTTACTTTTCGTTGTGAATATAGCATTATTTTCCGTAAGAAGATGAAGGAATGAGAAATTTTGAACGTTGTTATACGTACCTAATGCAGCACTAACTAAACAGAATGGTAAAAGTAGTTTCATCATTCTGCAGGGATGTGGTAGCTACCGACTGTTTGAGGACGTTTAAGCGCAAGTGGAATCCCTTTAAGCACAGATTGCGTTATTTTTTACACATTATATCTTATCCCACTAGTTTCTGCTATTTACTAATTTAAGATTGGCTATCAACAAATTAGAGTGAACACTTGCTCAGCTAGCGCAAGAAAATAGCTGATACGATGCTTTGTACAATGGACTGCAATCGCCCATGGACGTTTATGCAGATAGGTCGCGCCGCGCACGACCGGGAAGAAAACGTTTGTAAACTGGAGATCTGCGCGGCAGAGGATTGACATATCCATTGCGCGTACTAGAAACATACAACATTGGTGAAAGAATTGTCATGTAAATACATATTTTACTGGTAGAATATAGCTGCATTCAATATTTTTTTATGATCTAATTAAAATTTAAACGAATTAAAACCACTTTTCTTATACTTATATTCACATATTTTGGTAGAAATTCTATGTTTTACTATTTAAGGCTGACTGTCTTTCATTTATAAGAAACAGTTTCGTTATTAACACAAAAGTAAACTATTGTCTTTTAAATCTTCGATATAAATCGATAGACGGCAATGTATTGGCTATGCTTTTTGGCTCTATCAAGGTCTGTTTTCAAAAACAAAAATAAATACAGGTAATAAGAGATTGCTTGTGTATATTGCTTAGGAGAGGTAATAAACGCTCTAGATTATTTCAAATTTCATTTTTCTTAACCTCCTTAAACTAGAGAAAGAGTGAGAAAGAAAGAGTGAGAAAAAAAAGAGTGAGAAAGAAAGAGTGAGAGAAAGAAAGAGTGAGAGAAAGAAAGAGTGAGAGAAAGAAAGAGTGAGAGAAAGAAAGAGGGAGAGAAAGAAAGAGGGAGAGAAAGAAAGAGTGAGAGAAAGAAAGAGTGGAGGAAAGAGTGAGAAAGAGAGAGAGGGAGAGAAAAAAAGGGATAAATTCTCGTCTGGTCTTACAAGAAAAACGTCAAGAAGGGGACTTATCCATTCTCATAAACAATGCTATTGAGTAGACACAGCGCGTTTTTTCGGCCCCGAATTAACCGTCCCAGGTAACACTTCGTAAATTTAGATAACCTGTAATTATGCATCTACCTTCCGCTTTTCTTTAGAACTGTAGTTCTTTCTAGAACCTTTTAAAACCTAACTCAGCGCTAGGAGTATGATAGTCTTACCAATTCCAAAAATTTGCCCGCTGTCTTTCCTCGTATTTCCTCCCGTAGAATTTCGTACACATCAATCCCATCCACGGTAACACAGCATGGCGTATATGACACATAAAGCATTTAACCCCTAGGTATGTAGTCAATTATAAAGATTTCTTCGCTGTTAATACCTTCATGAGGCCATAATTTCGTTCCAACTATTAAATCAGCGTTGTAGGAATCTACGGTGATCCAAAGGTTTTTACTTTTATTATACAACTTATCTACATTGGCTGTGGGGACTTTCCAGGCACGTCTTTTTGCAATCTCCATTGTCACAGCCATTACTCTTGTCTCCGCCACCGACCTTGCTGTAATTTTGTCTGGACGTCACAATTCGGGCACGGGACCATGGAATTAACATATGAGGTGCTTTACCGCTTCACTCCCAGGCGCCGCAGTTACCAGTTGTCTCCGTTATTAATTCCTCTCTAATAGACGTTCGAGGGACAGCTTCATTTCATGTTGTTTGTCACTTCATGATACCCCGTCGATGTCCAGAACTCTGGATATCATTAATATTGAGCCCTCCACGTCAAATTGCACGGGAATTCAGACATTTAAAAAATATTTTTTTAAACTTAAATATAGACATCAAAAGGACACGATATATTTTATTTGCCTAAAAATGATTAACTGTGTAGCAAAAAATATATTAAATTTTGGAATTTACGTGTACTTCGCAAAATATAATCAAGATATTCTACGCATTTACTTAACATACAAGTTTGTAAATGGTTATGTAATATTGTAATAAGAAAATGTTCTTTCTGACACTTCAACAACCATTTGAAACATAGTTAAAGACATGAAGCGCGAAAAATACATAATTTTGTAAGCACTTGCGAAAAGAAAGTAAAATCATTAATAGTTAATAAATAACACGGTATTGACATTGGTGGCAAACAAATGCAAATACATAAAAATATATAAAAGTAAATTATTACACCATATTATGATGTAGTATTCTATAAATATATAAAAGTATTAATTTATATTACTAAGAAGAGCATTTTTTACAATTAAAAGGGCGACAAAATGAGAAACTGGTGAAACTTTAACAGCACGTACTTTCTCGCAATATCACCATATTATTGTTATGTATGTCGGGACGCCAATATTAATTAACTTCATAATTAATTTCAAACAGAAATTATGTAAAAACTTCTAATTTTTTCAAACAATTGTACATGATCTTTTTAAAGAGATAAATGTGTACAACAGACTTTGTAAGAGGCAAATATATCCATCTTCAATGTTAGTAACAGTTTTGATATATTTTTTGTGCAATTTTCAAAAAAGGGTCAATACTCTTAAATAGGACCATCACCATTTTACATATATGGAGAAAATTTATGAAAAGATTTATAGTGGTTTTTGAAGAAAAGAATGGAAATTTCAAGGGCACACATCAAATACTGCTACTTTAAAAAAAAAAATACATAATCTTTATTAAAGAGCTATATTTGTGCGACATATTTTACCTGAAGCAAAAATCACTATCTTCTATTTTGTAATGTACATTTTTGTTGTTGCAAGTTTCAAAAAATCGTGTATTTAAACGAAAATTAGACTTCTACCATTCTCTTAAACGTCCTTGAAAATTTTGAAAATGTCCCAGGGGTTTCATGTAAAGTACGCCCCAATTTTAAAATTTCGGTTTCAAATTCCAGGGCAGCGACATCTGATATAACGATTCAGGAATATCAATTTTTGGGAAAATCGCCTGAACGGTTTTTGCGCTGGCGTTTTTTATTATTTATTTATTTGATTGTTTTGTGCATAGTTAAGTTGTTAATAACTTTACATATGTATTGATGACTTATAACTTAACTTATTCTGTACTTATCCTTACTTAATACTACAACAGAGGTTGAGGAAACCATAATGGCACCTCATAAGAACTATTCCAGATCTGAGAACAATTTACAAAATATGTGGAATGGATATTTATGTATTATGCGAGTGGGGTGGATGGGGTTTTGCAAAGTTTGAATGAAGATAAGGTTTGGATATGGTGTATATTTGAGAAGAAATTGTGGTGCGTGATCGGATCGAGGTTGAATTCATTATGTAATTGAGGATTAGATATGCACTAGGGTGTATTAGTGATTGTAAATAGGAATTGGTTCTGTACTATTTGAATTTTGTTGATATTTGTTTTTGCAGCATCGATCCATCCTGGGCAGGCCTAGAGAAGAGTAGGTCTGATTATTGTTTTGAATAAAGTTATTGCTGTGTTGCATGTGTCGTAATTATTTATATTTATTAGACTTTTTAATTGATGCAATTTGTATTTAGTTTGTATTATTTTGAAGTCTATGTGCTATTTCCAGTTCATTTTGATGCCCATGTGCAGTCCAAAATATTTTATGGATTTATTTGGTGGGTATCATGGGATGGGCTCATTATTTAAAGTTAGTGGGGTTGGTGGAGTGTATGGGCTTAAAGAGAATATTTTTGGAGTTTTGTTTGGGTTTAATTTTATTTTTAATTTGGATGACCTACTGTCTATTCGGTTTAGATACAATTGTATGTGGTTTTTAATATTGATTAGAGAGTGGTTGGAAGAAAAGATAAGTGTGTCATCTGCAAACTGTACTGTTTTTACTGTTTCATCTGTGGGGATGTCTGCTATATAGAGATTAAACAGTGTGGGGGATCCTTGCGGCAATCCTGCTTTAATTAACCTGGGGTTTGACTGATAGTTGTTGATTATTACTGCAAATGTTCTGTTGGATAAATAGTTTTTAATTACTGAGGTGATGTAGTATGGAGTGCCTATTTTCTTTAATTTATATATTAGTGCCAGACTATCAAATGCCTGTGTTATGTCGAGTGATAGGAGTTCTGTATGATGTTTTTTCTGAAATGATGTGTTGAGTTCTGTGATTCTGAGGAGTTGATGTTGTGTGGATATATGATCAGTGAATCCACTGATCCCAGCTCTCTTGGGATTTCTTTTGTTATTTGTAGGTGCTTTTTAAAACGTTGGAGAATTTTTTTGGAAAATGTTAGACAGAGATGGTAGAAGGCTTATCGGACGATAACTGTCGGTGTTGGCTGAATTTTCATTAGGTTTCAGAACCGGAAGAATGATGGCATGCTTCCAAGTGGATGGAAAATGATTTGTTCTGTAGCATGAATTCTATATATTTGTTACGTATGCAATTGCGGGGGCTGGTAAACGTTTTAGTACTGAATTATTGATATTATCATGACCTGTTGTTTTTTTTATCGGGAGATAGTTAATGATTTATTTTATTTCTTTAGGGTTTGTGTAATGAATTTTGTCATAAGGACTGTAGTTTGGGAGGTTTATTGGCTGTTTTATCGTGTTGTGGTCCGGGTGCGGTTTAGATTGGTTGAGTGTGAATGTCGACTCGAAGCAATTGGCTATTTCCTCTGCCTTGTTGGTAGGGGTGATGAACGAGCCTTTCTATGAGTTGATGGGTGGAATTATTGTTTTCTTTTTTTGTATTTGTTTTGTGAATTTCCAAAAAGTGTTGTTTTGAGCAGTTAAAGATTGTATCTTGATCTGGAATTTGAGATTTATATGTTTTTTTATTGATTTCTTAAATATATTAATTAGTATATTTAGTTCTTTTATTTGTGGGTTTTTGGTTTGGCTCCATAGTCTTCTGGTCCTGTTTTTGATGCATATTATGTTTTTGATTTCTTCAGGTAGAGCAGAATGATTAGTTTTGTTATGTGTTTGTGTATTTGTGTGCTGCGTTTCTGTTATTGCTGTATGTATTGTGGTGTTTAGTAATATTACGGCGTTGTCTATTTCCATGGAATTATTTAAAATTTTTATTTTTGGTATTAAATTGCTGGTTATATTTTGGAATTTAATCCAGTTTAATTTAAGTGTGTTTATTTTGGGTATTGGGGACCGCGGGGCCGGGATTTGTCGAGTAAGTATATTTACCGGAAGATGAACAGAGTCGAGTTCGTGATACGGAGTGGAGTAAAAATTGATATTGCCTTCAGTCACACCGATGTCAATGATGTCTGGTTGCTTAGTTACGTCTCTTAGATTGTATAATGGCTCAGGCGCCGATAGGCTATTGATAGTGGTATTGTTTATAAATTGTGATAGTATTTTTCCGGCTTGATTGCAATTGCGGCATCACCTGTTTGCATGTTTAGCGTTTAGATCACCTAGTATTAATGATTTTTGTTTGGGGTGAATAGATTAAGAATATTTTGGGGTTGTATTTTTATTGATGGAGGTGTATATGCAGTTATTACATTCCATAATTCATTGTTCGAGTTATTGCTACTGTTTCAATTCCTGTGATGTTTGGTATATTAATTTTATGATGAATTATATTATTTCTGACTGCTATAAGCACACCACCTCCTATTTGTTCCTGTAATCCTGTTGTAATCCTGTTGTAATTGTGTCCTGTAATTTCTATAAATTTTGTATTCTGGAATGTAAAATTTATTACTATTGTTTAGGTGCGTCTCTGTTATGCACGCAATGTTTATGTTATGTGTGAGTAAATATTGAGTAAGTTCTATTTTTTTTGGATGTGATCCCATTTGCATTCCAATTTGTCAATGATATATTTCTATGGGCTTGTATTTACTTTATTGTTATTAAAAATGCTGTTACTGTATTCTGAATTGTATTGATTATTGATGGTGTGAGGGAGTTTAATAATATAGTGGGAGGAAGTTAATAATATAGGACGATATAGAATTAATTATTGTATTTAAAAGGGGATTATTATTATTATCTTGTTGATTTTGTTGAGTACGGTTTCTCTGTGATTGTTCGGGATCAGGATTCGCATATTGTTATCGAATCCTGATTGGTTGTTAGGATGAGTATTCCTAGTGAAGTTACGTATTGGCTCGGTAGGGGGTAGTGATGGAAATTGTTCTTGTTGGTTGCTAAGGGATGATGGTGGTGTTCTTTCGTATGAATTTCTTGTGTTTTTGGGAGGGGTTTTATTTTCAGCAATTTCCTTATACTATAAACAGTTTTCATTTCTTACACCTGCACGGTGATTGCCTTTGCAGAGAATACAGGTGGGGTTTGCTTTACTTTCAGGACAAGTTACAGTATAGTGATTACCAGAACATATTGCACAGTTAATTTTGTGATTGCACTTGCTTTTAAAGTGTCTAAAGTCCAAACATCTATAGCATGTAGTGGACCTTTTGATCTTTTTCTTTTTTCTGTGGTGACTTTCAGGTTGCAGATTTGATTAATGTTTCCAGTGGTTCATTGCCGTTGAACTCGGCTGCTATTACAGGAATGGGGTGGCTGT